CCTGTGAGGCCAGCACCTGCTAGCCCTACTCATCCCACAGATCCTGAAGCTTTTTGCCTGGGAGCCCTCATTTGAGAAGCAAGTCAATGAGATCCGGGCACGTGAGCTCAAGGACTTGCTGAACTTCAGTTACCTGCAGTCAATCTCTATCTTCGTGTTCACGTGTGCCCCCTTCCTGGTGAGTGCCAACAGGTCTGGGGAGGGCTGCACCTTCCTCAGAGCTGGGGTTGGGCTGTGTCAAGGGGATGGGAAAGATTGGGAACCTTGCCTGGAGTGCTCCCACAGCAAGAAAGGGCTGGCTGACAGATGCCTGGGATGCAGAGTGTGGTCCTGGCTGCTGTCAGGAGAACTGTGGTGGAAAGGGGTCCCATCAGAGGAGTGAGATGGGGCCCAAAGGAGAAGGGAAGCAGGAGGGGAACAGGTCCGCAGCAGAAAGGCACTGCTGAGGCCTTAGGGGAGCATGAGGGTCTGGGCTGCACCCAACCGCACTGATGGTGGCTTTCCCTGCTATCTGTCCTAGGTCTCCTTGGCCAGCTTTGCTGTCTATGTGCTGGTGGATGAGAAAAACATCCTGGATGCACAGAAGGCCTTTACTGCCATCTCTCTTTTCAATGTGCTGCGCTTCCCCATGGCCATGCTGCCCTTGGTCCTCTCTTCCCTGGTGCAGGTCAGCCCTCACATAGGGAATGGGGTGCAGGGGGGACCTTATACCTCTGTCAAAATCAACATGTGGGGCTCAGATGTGTGATGGACCTGGACCTTGGACATCCAGGGGTCAGTGCACGGGACTCTGCTGGCAGTGGGGTGGGACAGGACTCACATACATGACACAGGCTTGGGACTCAGAGGTTGGGGCTGGTGCTTGGCTGGGGGCTGTGTGTACAGGGTGCTCTGCTTACGGGGCTCCTTCCAGCCTACCCAGCTGCGCCCCATGCCCATGTGCCATCCTCTTTCTGCCATGGCAGACCAATGTGTCGACTGCGAGACTAGAGCGCTACCTGGGTGGAGAAGACCTGGACACCTCAGCTATCCACCACAACCCCATTGCAGGCAGGTGAACCTCTAGGTTATTCCCTGTGGGTCATAGGCTGGCCCAACCCTGGGCTTTCCCAGCCCTGAGGGATGGCTTTTTGCTGACAGGCAGCGCTGTGCGTTTCTCGGAGGCCACCTTTGCCTGGGAGCTGGATGGTAACGCTGCGATAAGAGAGTGAGTGCCCTGCGCCATGTTTCGGGCAGACGGGTGGGGAGAGGGAGTCTTTCTGTGTCGTTAGTTGGGGATGGCAGTCACCTCTCATGGTGCTGCTAAAAGTGAGTGCCCCAGAGACACTGCTCTGTGCTGGTCCCATGCAGGAGCCGGTGGGTGTCCTGGCAGCGCTGCTTCCTCAGCCCTCATGTCTTTGCAGTATCACCCTGGACATCGCACCTGGGAGCCTGGTGGCTGTGGTGGGGGCTGTGGGCTCAGGCAAATCTTCGCTGGTGTCAGCCATGCTCGGAGAGATGGAGAATATCAAGGGACACATCAACATCCAGGTGAGAGGAGCTGGCTGGCGCAGGGGGCTGTGGGGCTGCTTGGGAGCTCAGTGGGGAGGCAGCAGGGCAGGACTGGTCCTGGGGTGGGGGCTTAGGGCAAGGACAGGCTGCAGGAGCTGGCAGTGCTCACACTGATGCTCTGACAAGGTAGCTGTTCTTTTGTCTCTTCCCAGGGCTCCCTGGCCTACGTCCCACAGCAGGCCTGGATTCAGAATGCCACACTGAAAGACAACATCCTTTTTGGGTCAGAACTGGACGAAGCCAGGTATCAGCAGGTCATTAAGGCCTGTGCCCTCCTTCCAGACCTGGAATTACTGCCTGCAGGTGACCAGACAGAGATTGGAGAGAAGGTATCAGCCCTGGGCACTATAGGTTTCCCATGGCACCTGCAGCAGAGGACAGAGCTGTTGCTCTGTGCCAGCCCAGTACTCAGAGAGGTCCCTTTCCTTCCAGGGCATTAACCTGAGTGGGGGCCAGAAGCAGCGAGTCAGCCTGGCCCGGGCAGTGTACAGCAACGCAGACATCTACATCCTGGACGACCCGTTGTCTGCTGTGGATGCTCATGTCGGCAAGTACCTCTTCGAGCATGTGCTGGGGCCAAAAGGGCTGCTGCAAAAGAAGGTGAGCACCCGTGCCACCGTCCCCACCATTCAGTCAGTTGGGAATGGCACTGGCACAGTGTTGACTATCCAGGAAAGCCTGAGGTTTCTTGCTTGGGACGGAGCGGTGTCCTGTGGCTTTCATGTGGGGCTGCAGCAGGCAGAAGAGACCTCATGAGTTCCCAGAGGGGTGCCCTGTGTCCCCATAGCCAGGCATTGCTAAGCAGAGAGGTCCTCAAGTAGGGGATGGAGAGCCTGCAGGCCCGTGGCTGGGGGGCGAGGGGTACTCTGATGCTTACTACCCTGCAACCACTTTGTTGCAGACACGGATCTTGGTGACGCACAGTATCAGTTTCCTGCCCCAGGTCGATAACATCGTGGTGCTGGTGGCAGGAGCAGTGTCTGAGCATGGCTCCTACAGCACCCTGCTTGCAAACAGGGGGGCCTTTGCCCAGTTCCTGAACTTGTACGGCAGCCAGGAGGAGGATTCTTCAGAGAAAAATATCACAGGTACTGGGAACACAACGTGGCTGTGGCAGTTAGAGGGGCCGTGCATGTGTCTTGGGGTTATGAAAACCCCAAGACCTGATCCGTCAGTCTGACCTGGCTGTATCCAGCCCAGGCTGGTGTGAATCCTTCCCAGCTTCTGGCAATCAGCAGCACAGGGACTTTATGGCTACGATTTGAATCCAGGCATTGTGTTGAACAGTCAGCAAAGGACCTGTCTAATTTTTTCGCTCCCTTTTTAGTTCATTTATGTTTATGGGTCCCATAATCCTACATGACAACAGGCTCCATACCTTAGTGATGCTGGGGTGAGAAAGATCCTTTGGTTTATTCTGAACATACTGTTGGATAACATTTCATCTTTATCATGTTCCCCAGTGCTATGGGGAATAATGGTGTCAGGTCAGGTGGATGTGGCCTGGGCTCAGCCCAGTTGTCCAGCTGGAGCCTGGCTATTCCCAGTCTGTCCCTGCAGGACCTATCTCCATCTGCTCAAAAAGATGCTCCTGAACCAGAGTGACATGACCTACCAGATCGTGCACCTACTAAACTCGCACAAGTCTCTGCTTGATGTCCCACCAGTGGTACTGGGATAAGTCAGCAGCAGGGACTGCCTCCATGCAAGCCTTTAGCCCTATGTCCCCTGTCAGTTCTCCCTCCAGCACAAGGGGTTTCTTCTTCCTTCTGCTGTACTGGGCTTGCAGCAGGGTTGGAGAAGGTGTGATGTGCGGTGGTGGGACGCACCCTGGGCCTGGGGTGTGGGATGGAGCTGAGCGCAGCAGAAGCATGGGACATGGGATCTGCTGTCTCCTCAGTGCCTGATCCTACCTTCTCTCATCCCTGTGCTTGTAGCTGTTGCTTTAGTTGGGGATGAAGAGCAGGGTGATGAAGACATTGAGCCTTGCGTGGAGGAGGGCCCTGATGATGTGGTGACCATGACCCTGAAGCGAGAGGCCAGCATCCGTCAGAGAGGGTTCAGCCGCAGGTGGGAACTCGACCTGAGCTCTCGGCTCTCTCCCCTTGCCCCTGCATTGCTGTCTAGGAGAGAGGGGGCCTGAGGGCTTCCCTGGGGGGTTCCTGCAGAGAAGGAGATGGGAGCCTCCCTACCTGCTCCTACCACCAGCTGGACTGCATCAGGAGCATCTGATCTTGCCTTTACTCCCATTAGTGTGTCACAGCCTTACTCTCTGGTCTTCCTTGAAACTCTTGCTGTCTGGTTCTGCTTTTGGGGATGAAGGCTATGATTTCATGGCTGAAAATGCCTAGGACTTCCACAAGGCTCATTCAAAGCTGCCCCAGTCAGGACATTATTTCCCAGAAGGCTCCAGCACTGGAGTCCCAATGCAGCATAGGGATGGACCCCCAGGAGAACAGGACCCATCCAGCACCCTGTGACTAACACTGCCCATCACCTCCCTGCAGCCTTAGTAAAAGCAGCACCAATTCCTGGAAGGAGGCCCAGGAGGAGCCCCCCAAGAAGCTGAAGGGCCAGCAACTGATCGAGAAAGAAGCTGTGGAAACTGGCAAGGTGAGGAGGATGGACGGATGAAGCACTGTGCTGCCCTGGCTCAGTGCTACAAGACCCTGACTGTGCCTCAGAGAAGCCGGTGCTGGGATGGGTGGGACTGGTGGGCAAGATGGTGGGGGGAGCACTGTGGGCAGCAAGGCAGGAGTCCCAAGGCTGTGCTGGGTGTCATAGGCTGCGGTTTGCTGGGCAGCGGTGATGGGCTGAATTGGTCCACAGGTGAAGTTCTCCATGTACCTGCGGTACCTGCGTGCTGTTGGCTTGTGGTATTCTTTCTGGATTGCCATGGGCTACGTTGGACAGTACGTCGCCTTCGTGGGGACCAACCTGTGGCTCAGCGCCTGGACTGATGATGCGCAGCGCTACCTGAACAAGACTTATCCCGTGGAGCAGCGAGACCTGCGGATCGGTGTCTTTGGGGCGCTGGGGGTGTCACAAGGTGAGTATGGGAGCACAGGGGATCCCGCTCACCTCAGCTGTGTGGTCTAGAAGGGATATGGCTTGCAAGGCCTGCAGCCAGCAGCGCAGCAAGGAGCCGGGGACCCAGCATTGTGTTCATTTGCCTGCTGCTGCCTTCTTTCTGGCTCCTGGCTGAGCTGGGGACAGATATCAGTCTGAAGCCAGCATAAATTGCCCCAAGAAGTCTGTGTTCCCCCCTTGAAGATCACTGTCCTTGGGTTTTGCATTCTTCCCCTGTGTAGGGATGCAGTTACTGGGGCCTCCCAAGAAGGTGGGGTGCAGGACTATCACAGTGGCTCGCTGCAGAGCTGCTGGCTTGGAGCTGCTTGATGTGTCCCTTGAGCCAAAGGGTGCCTGAGGCCAGTGTCACACATGAGCTGGTGATGATCGCCCTGTGCTCTCCTTGCAGCTCTCTTCCTGCTCTTTGCAACCATCCTGTCTGCTCATGGGACCATGCGAGCCTCCCGGGTTATGCATCAGCAACTGCTCAGCAACATCCTGCGTGTGCCCATGAGCTTTTTTGACACAACCCCAACTGGCCGCATTGTGAATAGGTTTGCCAAGGTGAGAGAACAGCCCCAACATGTGGAAGGTGTTTGTTCCAGCAGATCTGGAGAGCACTGGGTGGTGGCATAACCCTGTTGTTCAGCACTGCACAAATAAGCCTAGATCGGGGCCTGGAAGGGACCAGAGGGGCATGGTGGAAGCAAGGCTGACTGTGAGGCAAACCACATCCTGGGCTATACCAGGAGGAGAGTGGCTAGCAAATCACAGGGAGTTATTATTTCCTCTGCTCAGTGCTAGGGAGGCCACACGTGGATACTGTGTCCTGTTTTGCGGCCACCTGGTCAAGAGGGATGTGGAGAAACAGAAAAGGATCCAGAGTAGATTACCAAAGAGAGGCAGAAGCCTAGAGCTCATGTCCCATAAGGAGTTGTTCTTCTGGTTATGGACTCTCAGCAAAATATACAGTCTTTGCTATGTAAATGAAACTCATAAAACAAAGAGAAAACAAGAAAGGAGGGAGAATACAGACAGGTAGTTTCAAGTGTGCTGCCACTCCACTTCTTCCTTTGGTGCCATGTCTTGATTTTGGGGAATAAAAATCTCTCTTGAGATCAAGCCTACGGGCTTACTGGGTTTACTCTGAGATGAGGGAGTATGTGGTGCCCAGCGAGGAGATGGATGATAACCATCTGGAGACCTGGGTGCACCTGCATGGACCTGGAGTCAGCCCTGTCCCTCTTTCTGCCTCAATTCCTGCTCCTTCATCCTAGGTCCAGACGAAGATGCAGTTCCCAAACCTGGTCTGTGCAACAGGGGAATATTATAGGAAGCTTCTCTGTTAAATCAGCCATTCCCAAGCTAAGACCTGTGGCCCTAAATGGGGTTGTGACCCAATTCAGTGTCATCCAATATTTTTGCAAGTGCCTGGCACTGTGTTACCACATGACTGTGTAGGAACCCTGTATGTGTCGGGCCTTTGGGTTTCTCCCTGTCTCTGGGGTCACTGACTGCTTCTCCACACTTCTTTGTGTGCTCCAGGACATCTTCACGATAGATGAGACCATTCCCATGTCCTTCCGCAGCTGGCTCTCCTGTTTCATGGCCATCATTAGCACATTGCTCATGATCTCCCTGGCCACCCCATTCTTCGCTCTCATTATCATTCCCTTGGGCATCTTCTACTATTTTGTGCTGGTGAGTAACCGAGGCTTGAGAGAAGCCTCTGCCCTGCTTACACCAGTATCTTTGTCGCTGCCGGGCTTTGTGTTGGTAAACAAGCTGTGTCCCTCATTTCAGCGCTTCTATGTCTCCACATCACGCCAGCTACGGCGTCTGGACTCTGTCACCAGGTCTCCCATCTACTCCCACTTTGGTGAGACAGTGTCAGGCCTTTCCGTGATCCGGGCCTACGGACACCAAGAACGGTTCCTGCAGCAAAATGAGAGGACCATGGACATAAATCAGAAGAGTGTTTATTCCTGGATAGTCTCAAATAGGTGAGTTTTACTCCTTATGCCACAGCATAGCCTGCAGCACCTCTGCCCAGCAGCTTCTGGGTCCTGAGGGAGGTACCTGAGATCCTGCAGCCCTCCCTCTTGATCTCAGGACTGAGGGTCTGTGTAGGAACTGGGAGAGCTTGGGATAGGGACACCATCTTTGGGAAGGAGACATTTTAGGGCAATTTTGAAAGCCAGAACGTGTCCCTCTATGGAGTGTCCAGAGCCTGGGCAGGGTGAGCTGTGCTGTCAAGGGCTGAGATGCTCTTGGTGGGTTCTGGGAAGAGGCCAATGCTCCAGGCCAGGATGGAGTGTGATGGGGGCACTGTCTGGTGTTGATGTGTTACTGGCAGATGCTTTGGGTGTGTGAGAGTTGTGCAGTTAGGGCTCCTCTGACACATGGCGTGACCAGCACAGGAGGTTACATGTGAGCCCCAGGGACTGACAGATAAAATGAACCTGCCTGCAGAATTGGCCACAAATCACATTCTGTGTAGGTGGAGGTACCATATGTACAGTGCTAGGCTCGGGGCTGGGTGTGCAGGGATGCTGGTGGGGTGCTGGTCTAACTGGTGGGCCCTGTGTTGGGAACAGGCAGATGCCTCTCTCACCACCCCTCAACCATCCTCTTCTGCTGCAGGTGGCTGGCCATCCGTCTGGAGTTTGTTGGGAGCCTGGTGGTCTTCTTCTCTGCACTTCTAGCGGTGATTTCAAAGGGCACTTTGGAGGGCGGCATTGTCGGTCTTTCTGTCTCCTCGGCCCTCAATGTGAGTCAATTAAAGCTTTTTCTTATTCTAGGACAGGGCTGTTCCTGGGAGCTCTGGGCTGGCTGCAGGATGCTGGCCTGCCTCCAGCTGTGATCCATGGAGAAGGGACTAGCTGCGGTGTGCCATCACCTGGGGAGCTGCTATGGAGCCAGGGCAGCACACACCCCAGTGTGAGGGCGATACTTGCTGCTGTGGGGAGAAGCACGGTCCCACTGTGGATCAGAGATGCTGCAGCAAAGGGCTGGGGAGAGGGGGCTGTGGCTGGGGAGTGGAGGGTTAGGGGCCAGGCCAGGGATGCTCATGCCCAGGCTAAGTCCCTGAGCTGAGGTGGGAGGTGGCTGTTCCGGGGTCTCACTGAGCTCTGCATCCTCTGGCTCTGCCACTCAGGTGACCCAGACACTGAACTGGCTGGTGCGGACGTCTTCAGAGCTGGAGACGAACATTGTGGCTGTGGAGCGGGTACACGAGTACACAAAGGTGAAGAACGAGGTGAGGAGACCAGGGTCGAGGCAAACACCTGCTGCACAGCTTAGTGCTAGCCAGCATCGCAGGGTGCAATCTCCCTAACGCTCCTGTGCCCCCAGGCTCCGTGGGTGACAGAAAAGCGTCCACCCCGTGGCTGGCCCAGCAAAGGCGAGATCCAGTTCATTGACTACAAAGTTCGCTACCGACCTGAACTGGAGCTAGTTCTTCAGGGGATCACCTGCAATATTGGGAGCACCGAGAAGGTGAGGACCTCTCTGCCTCACTACTCTCTTTCCAGAGTGACACTGTGTTAAAGTTGTTTCTGTTCTCTTGGCTTCAGTCTGTGGGCTGGTGAGGGATGGTTATGGGACATGGCTTCTAGGGACTTGAGCTGCAGGGCAAAGACCACAGGAGACAGTCTGGGAGATGGTGATTGCAGATGCAGGGCAGGAAGGCTCACCTCACCAAGACAGAGGGCATCTCCCCTGTTTTCTTCAACCCTGTCAGCTGGTCTAAACAGCTGCTTCCGCAGGTTGGGGTTGTGGGCCGGACTGGGGCTGGAAAATCATCCCTCACCAACTGCCTCTTCCGGGTACTGGAAGCTGCTGGAGGGTCGATCATCATTGATGAGGTGGATATAGCGACGATTGGCCTCCATGACCTGCGCCAGAACCTCACCATCATTCCCCAGGTGAGCTGATCGCCACCTTTCACGTCCCACTGCTGCATGGCCTCCCCAGGCCCTGTTCCCTGGGTGATGCGTTGCCCTTAGTGCATCCCTGGGTGCTGCAGAGACTCCAAGGGCCTGCGACCATGCCGTTGCCACCTCCCCTGCCCAGCTGCAGGCAGCGATGTGGGCAGGATGTGGTCAAACTCAAGGTCCAGGAGCCATCACCCCTGCTGAATGGCTGTGGCATGGCTGAACACGGTGCTGTCCCTGGCAGGACCCCGTACTCTTTACTGGTACCCTGCGGATGAACCTGGACCCCTTTGACCGGTACACAGATGAGGAGGTCTGGAAGGCCCTCGAGCTGGCCCACCTGAAGACATATGTGCAAGACCTTCCCCAGGGGCTGCTGCATCTTGTGAGCGAGGGAGGGGAGAACCTGAGGTGAGCAGAGGAGCAGAGGCATGCCCAGCTCCCCTCCTTTCCCTTAGTCCCAGGGACCAGCCTGGAACAGCAGCCTCTAGCAGAACTGCTGTCCAGGGACGAGGGCACAAAAACTTCTGGGAGCGAAGGTGGGAGAAAACAGCCAGGAGTCAGGGCTGTCAGGGAGCCAGTGTGAGCCTACCTTTCCATGGTGGCCCAGAGAGCAAGATGCTGAGGGACATGGTGCTCAGGGTGGCAGATGATCAGCTGGGGGAAGGCCAGGGAGGGCTGGGCAGGCACAGTGTTTGAGGTCAGCGCAGCGTGTGGCGGCAGCCTTGCAGAAGCCCTGCTGGTGTCTGCCTAGTAACTCATGTTCCCCACCTCAACCCAGTGTTGGGCAGAGGCAGCTGGTGTGCCTGGCCCGGGCCCTTCTCCGCAAAGCCAAGATTCTCATCCTGGATGAAGCAACAGCAGCCGTAGATCTGGAAACTGATCATTTAATCCAGACGACGATCCGGAGTGAGTTTGCTGACTGTACTGTCCTTACTATCGCCCACCGCCTCCACACCATCATGGACAGCAACAGGTACTGTGGGGCAAAGGGAACGCAGATCTGGACTCCTAGGATGGGGCGAGAGGTGGCCAGCAGCAGAAGCAAGGATGCAGCCAGAGGGGCAGGGGTGGGTGTGGTGCCTGGGCCAGTCATATACAGAGGTTCTAGGAGAGAATAGATGGATGGGAAGGATGGCCATGCAGTAGCTTTGCCTTTGTGGGTAGAAACATTTTGGGGGATCCTTTGTTACAGCAACAGGGCATAGAGGTGTTATTGACACCTTACGTGTGTCACCCCACGAGCACAGGGAGGAGAGCTGTGCCCTCACTTCTGTGCTGTGAGGGGGTGAACCACGTAACATGGCTGTAGGAGTGAGGGTTGGTGGGGCTGTCGTGCTGGCACCAGCAGTGCTATCAGCTCGGATTCCGGGAGCTCAGGCCTTCTCATTCCCTGCTGCCAGGGTGATGGTGCTGCAGGCTGGGAGGATTGTGGAATATGACAGCCCTGAGGAGCTGCTGAAGAAGCAGGGCATCTTCTCTGCGATGGCAAAGGACGCCAGCATCACGAATACAGAAAACACCATGCTGTAGGTGGAGCAGAGCAGTGTGCGGGTGTGTGCATGGGCAGCTCCCTCCCGCTGACACTCACCAAGCAGGCAGCGGGTCTCCCCGCACCTGGGCTGCCCAGGAATTTGTCTCTGCAGCTGGGAAGCAGAGAGAGTGTCTTCTCTGGCTGTCAGGGACAGAAGATCTGGACTTGAGTGAGCTGTTAACCTTGCTACTGCACCCTGCCTGCTGTGCACATCAGGGTCTGGAGCTGCATAATTTATTCCAGTGTAGAGGGGAAAAGTTATCTGCCAGGCAGCGAGACCATGACCTCCTTGGGTGTCTTAGTTTTTTGTACTTCACTATGCCAGGGCAACCTAGCCAAGACGCTTTACAATTATGGAATGAAATTTACAGTTTAATCTAAGAGTGAATGTTGTAATTTATTTACTTTTTGTAACTGTTTCTAGTCTTCCAACTAAAAGTCTGACTTTAAGGCATGCTAAATAAGCCTTGGTTTACCTTTAAACCTGGCTAGTGTTTTGGGGGGAAGCTGGCAACACACGTTATGCAGACACACATCGGGGGGGGACTCCAAATCGAGTGGCACAGCTACATCCAGGCATGACCACTACTCACTGGCAGTGGAGGTGGAGAAGCCAGGGCCTGCCTGCCTTCCCTATGGTTACAGCTCCCTTTGTAATGCAAATAAATGACGCAGGCCCTGGGGTTATCGTAACCACTAGTGGGGCAGATTTTGGGCTGTGGGCTCCAGACGGCAAACCTGATTGTCATAGAGACAAGCTGGAGAGGTGCAGGCATGCATGTGTGCGTGCTGCACTGACATACACACACACAAATATCGGGGTTACTGTTGACAAACTCTTGGCCTTTCTTTGTTCTTGGGCATGAAAGCCAGCAACTGGAGGTAGCACTGACATCTGCTGCTGGCATGGAGGGAACCGGTGCACACTGCCTACTCACTTACAAGCCTGGGGCAGGGCAAACCCCTCCACGCTGGCTGGTGGCAGGAGGGACAGAAGCCACCCACAGCGCCAGCTGAGTCATGTAACACACTGTTACATGCACCAGCAGTGCAATCACTTCATCTTTATGAAGAACTTTCCTGTGAGGGTTTCCTAGTGCCTGAGCTGCAGCTGGAACAAACACCAAAGCAGAAGCATGCTGGACCCCACCAAAAACTAAATGTTTGTCCTGGCCCTGCAGGGTCTGCATGAAGTCTGTGGGCTTTGCCCCCCCCAGCCCAGCACTGGCCAGGCACTCCTCCCACCTCTCCCAACACTTGCACAGGCACCTCCTATACACAAAGGCAAATCTTTATTTACAAAGCAGCAGTACAGGGGATACAAACATTGCCCCAAGAGAAGGGAACTTCCCTCCTTCAGGGCACAGCAGCAGCAGGTAAGACACACCACACCGGCAAAGGGCACCACATCCCTCCCAGGGAGGGCCTTGCCCTCCCAGAACATCACACCATCTACAGTGCCCTGCAGGAAAGTGCAGTTGAAGCAGTCCTGGTCAGAGTCCCCAAAACAACCACGCTGGAGGACAGCCTGTGCTTTGCCTTCTGCCTTACCCCAGCCCAGAGCAGCCAGGTGGGCAGCTCAGTGCAAAGATGGGTCCTGGGCACTGGGGATACTACTCTGACAAGGGAAGATGGCATTCTGGACCTCCAGCTCACCTGGAAGATGAGAATCCAATGGCTGCTGCTAGCAGCAGAGCGTGGAGAGGCCCGAGCCCCTGGGTGACCAAGCACTGGGATAAAGCACCTGCTGGAAGCTCTGCTGTGGGGGCTTTCAGAGGCCAGGCCCATCCTAGCCCTGAGACTCAACTACTCTGAGTGATCCTCACAGCTGCGTCCCCAGACAGTGTGTTGATGTCCCACCCTGAGGTCCTGCACAGACAGGCGAGACCAGGATCCTTCTGCTGCTGCTCAGAAGGCACAGGGAGCACATTCACAGGGCCTGGGTTGCTTTTAACACTCTTGGCTAAAGACGGACTCCAGAAACTCAGCATTAGCCTTCCACAATTTAAACCCACAGCAGCTCCTCAGCCTCGTTCAAGCCTTGCCTTCCTAGGCCATGGCCCCAAGCTTTACTCCCCTGCTCCTGGCTGGATACAGGAAGCTCAAACAGCACAGGTGAACTCGCCCCTGCTCTCACACAAGCTGCTGGCTCCTGCCTGCTCCTACCTGCCCTGCCAGCCCACCCTTCTTCCTCCCCAGAAGGGGAGGTGGCAGCCAGCATGGTGGGGCCCAGGAGCACTGCATGGCTGCAAGGGACACAGCCTCAGGGGGAGCAGTGGGGGCTGCAGGGCTGGCCAGTCTCCCCGAGGCCCCTGGCATTCCCGGCAGGAACAAGGCACGGGGTGCAGGCTCCTGCCCGCTGCCTCACGTGTACTCCGTCTTCCGGATGTAACTGGAGGGGACGTAGCCCTGCTTCCCGTGTGCCTCGGCCAGCCACCACTCCCGATTGCCCGTGATGTCCTCAAACTGCAGGATCCTGAGTCTCTGGTTAGCTGACACACTCAGCTCATTGGTGTTTCGGCCTTTGAAGGTGTACAGAGCATAATAGACCTGCCAAACAGAGGGAGAGCATCAGTTGGATGGGAGCACCACACAGCCTTGCCGTCACATTGCATAGGATGTGTGGGCTTTTGCTCCTCTCCCCAAACAGCCTTAGCCCCAGGCCCATCCTGGCCTCTGCCCACTCCCATTTGCAGCCTAGTTATCTGCCTCTGCACCTGGGAGAAAAGGTCTCATCCTTCACCTTAGCCATTTGGGACAAAACAGACTCTACCTCCCACCTCTCCCTGGTCACTGCCAGGGAGGAGGATGATTCAGCCCCAGCTTAAGCAAGGGGGTCAGCCCTCAGCACCCCCAGCCCTCTCGGGGAGGCTGAGGGCTCACCTGATTGCCCTCTGACTCGCTGCTCTCCAGCCCAGAGTCTCTGTCCTCCACTGAGGGTGCAGGCCTGAGATGTGCTTTGGCAGGGTGCCCGTTGCGAGAGCCGGGGCTGCAGCCCAGCTCGGGGCGGCTGTGGCGACGCTGAGACATCATTGTCCCAGCCTCCAGCGGGGCTGTCCTGTCACCAGAGCCAAGCTGGGGCAGAGAGGGGGAGTCCATCTCCGAGGGGCACTGCAGAGACTGGTACGGGTCTGCTGGGGCAGATGAGTCCTGCAGGGGTTTCTGAGTGAAGGTGATGGCTGCTCCGCTGGGGCTGAAGGTCAGCATCGTGTTGCTTTGCGGAGAGGAGCAGCTCTGCTCTGACTCGTTGGAAGAGTGGCTGCCAACAGAGACATCTGACTGGCTGCGGCGTGGGTTGTAGGGCTTCAGAAAGGAACTGTACACAAAGCCCTTGGTCACTGCAGAGAGGGAGAGGAAGGGAGCTCAGACTGGGGTGCAGGGGGACAAAAGGAGGGGATTCACAGCATGCACCAAGGGCAGGGAGCAGCCACATTACCCCCATTGTCTATGAGCCAGCGATTCTGGCTGCCCATGGGGTCCTTCTTCTTGATGACACCCACAATGTCTCCTTCCAGCAGCGAGACATCCAGGTCTTGGGCAGCATTAAAATTGCGGTCTGCTTGGAAGAGACTGTCTGGGGGATAGCGGGCCAGGAGGGCAGCTCGGATGTCATCCGACTGCAGGAGGTAGCTAGGCTGCAGAGGAACAAGGCAGGCGTGAGTGGTTGTCCCAGGCTCTGCAAGCCCTGACATGGGGCAGAGGGAACTCACCAAGCCCATAAGGG